CACTTAATGATATACGCCAATTCAAAAGAAATAAGACAAGCAGATATGGAAGAAGTCCAAAAATGGATTTTGTCCCTGTTAAAACCAGAAGCTACGCCAACAACTAGAGTAATAAAGCAAGGATTCATATCCGAAGAACTGATGACAAGATACTGCAAGCTAGTTGGGCACGAATACCCAGACCATATTTGTTCAAAATGTAACCAAGGAGATGACATAATCCCTGAGGTACTTTTAGAATAATAAAAAAAAGTATTTTGTTGACTGAATATCAGACATATGTACAAAGTAATTGCCTTTTATTTTTATCGTGTTGTGTCGGCTGTAAAAAGCCAATAATAAATGTCGTAAAATAAATAGTAAGTGTGTCTCCCAATAATAAAGATAGGCCACTAAGTTTTTTGTTTTTAGCGTCAGCCAAATGTAAAAAGGCCAAGTGTAAAGTAGGTGCCAGCCATTTTTGGCCAAAGAGGTAAGATTGTTGTATTTTGTTGGCTGAATATCAGCCATATGTACAAAGTAATAGTCTTTTATTTTTGTCGTGTTGTGTCGGCTGTAAAAAGCCAATAATAAAAGTCGTAAAGTAAATAGTAAGTGTGTCGGCCAATAATAAAGATAGGCCACTAAGTTTTTTGTTTTTAGCGTCGGCCAAATGTAAAAAGGCCAAGTGTAAAGTAGGTGTCGGCCATTTTTGGCCAAAGAGGTAAGATTGTTGTATATAAATAGAGGGTTTCCCCTCATGAATAAAATCATAAATCTTCCATCATCTTCTCCTCTAACTTTTGGAGTAACATGATCGAGAAATGATAAGCAATAGAATAACAAGGCCAATTACATCTCTATAACACAAATCATCTTTAGATCACAACTTGAGACAAGATACATAGGCTAATTTTACATTATAATTCATAACCTAAATTACATCTCAAGAACTAACATGATAGGCCTATAATTCATCTCAATTCAACCATAATAGCACCATAGGATAGTAATCTAATCAAAAACAAACTCAATTGAATGAGCAACATACAACATAAGTCAAGATCACTACCTAGGGTTAGGGATGGAGGATCATGTTCTTAAATTTGACCAAACCATAAACAATTATCATAAACAAGTTAAATTACATGTAAATCTACTCAATATAACCCTAAGAATTCACTAACAACTCAATAATAATATTTTAGAGACATTCTGATTTGATTATATCCACAACATTTAGATGTATGGGTGTAGATTTTAGAATCAACTCTATTAATGCCTTACCAAATACAATTGAGATTAAATAAATACATTTTCATTTAATTTTGAATTTACTCTCTTAAAAACAAAACAAATAAAATATATCAAACTAAATCCATAAGTTATAAACCCATTTTATAATTATATATATATAATATATTATTTTTAGGAAAAATTACGTGAAATAACAAATATTTATAGTGTATAGTTTTATTTAGTTATTGTTTCAAATATTTATTTTTTGCGGCTACAATTTCTTAATTCTTATAATGAATTTGAATAATTCAATTTTCAACTATATCATAATTTGTATAGATTTATCCTAATTATTTGAATATAATTCGTTGATACATTTGATTTTTATAAGTTATGAATAATTAATTACAAATAACCATGTTTGTATATTCGCAAACTAAATATATATACAAAGTTCTGAAATTTTCTAAATATATAGTACATAACTTTTATATACTTACCATGTTTGCATATTGGCAAGCGAAATATACAAATGAGAACACCAATAACAAGCATTATTATAGCTACGAAATGTAATTAAGCAAATTGTAGCTAAGGGTGGTTTATTAAAATTAATCTCTTTGCTATTTATGAAATTTTCTCTATATTTATGGAGGAAAAGCCTTGATATACTCCTCAACGTTGTGATATAGAGCTCCTACACCCCTGATTAAAAAAGTGACACACATATATCCTTACTAATACAAAATTGGCTCATATATATTATTACAAAAGTTGCACGCATATACCCTTTTCATCCAATCATACTGAACAACTACTCTCAAATTCCCCAACAATTTGCTTAAAACCCTTTGGTGGTGGCAACACAACCAGTGCACCCATTGCACCAACCTCAATGTTGGATAGACTACAGATTGAGGGACCAAGTTGTCTTTTTTCACGATGGATATAAATGTAGTAAACACTATAATAGTAATCTAAAATTCCAACTTCTTGGCTCAAGTCATCACGAAGGGGATGTGTAACACGTTGAAAATCCAAGACTCATGGTAAAGCCTAACATAGGTGTCATAATGTCTAACCACTGTTTCTAAGTCCATTTTAATGAATATAGGTCATTTAGAAGGTTTAAAGGTCCTAAGATGTCCGGGAAGTTGGTTCAAAGAGATGTTAGTATGCCTTAACCTTTTTACTAATTTTTAGAATTCAGAAATGTATGAAAATGGGTGGAAAGGTAGCTAATGGGCGTTTGAGTTGTTTCATGTTTGGAACGTCTGGGTATGACTCCCCAAGGGCTAACCAAGGGCCCTTGAGGAGAACCCTTGCAGTTTGATGCAGCACTACCTGGCAGTGTGCATCGACGGGGCAGACGACAGTCCGTAAGTGGCTCGATCAGACGTCGAAGGCCACCATCATCCCACACTTAGAAAGATATGTGAAGGCCCTTGTTTGCCTAGCCACTTTTACACTCGACGAAAAGGGACGACGAGGCGTCATTCAACACTGTATCAAGGCCACCGTCATCCCATACTAAGATAAAATGAAGGAAGAATCCCCTGCAAAGTCTTTCATAGAGATGATGGAAGTGCAGGACGGAGGGGGAGGGGGCTGTCTGGCGACCCACCGACGGACCGTCGACTGTGTCTCATCGGTCAGGGTGGAATTTCACTGTTGGATTTTAGTGAATTCCTTTAAATTACTTAAATGGTTTAGGGGTTAATTAGTGATTTAAGGGAAACTAATTAAGTCAATTAAGTCCCTCTATATATACCCTTAACCCTCATTAACCTTAAGCCAACTCTAAAAAATAAACTCTCTTCTTTCTCTCTCTACAAGAACCCACCATTGAAGGCTAGCAAGAACTAGGGTTTGGGGGATGGAAAAGGGTGGATTCTTCATCAAATTGTTGATGACAAATGGAGGGGTAGGGCGGGTGCGGGTTAAACCCACAAGTCTTTACCCCGCTCCGCCCTGCATAGCACAATTCTTTAGATATTGGAGATTAAATATGACTGAATATTGGCTAAGGCGATATGGTAGAAATTACAGGTTAAAAAAGATTAAATATCTAGATAAATTAAGTAAGCTTTTTAAAATATTATGTAAAAAATTATGATGGATAAAAATAAAAATACTAAAATAAAAAGAACCAAGATAGATAAAAAAGTAAGAAAAATATGGAAAAAATTAAGATCTTTATATACAGGATATGAACTATCACAACTAGTCAAAACAGATAATGATAAAAAAGATCAATTGATAAACATAATTTCAAAAACAGAATATAAATATGTCCGCTATTTAAAAAGACAGTATGAACAGAGAAATCTATAAACAACGATTAATAGAAGAAATAAGGGGAAAAATAGCTGAAAAAAAACAAGAATTACAACATAGAAAAAGAAGATTAGAAGAAAACATATTAGCAGAAGTATGTAATAAATCAATACTAGCACAAAGAAAAGATATATCCATGTTAAAATTAGAATTAGATTGTCTTGAATATGAGTTACAACATAATATAATACATAAATTATAATGAATAAAGAAGAATTTGCAGTAGACGAAAAAACATACGAAAATCAAGACAGAATGATAATAAAAATAATATTTTCAAATCTAGAAAGAAGATATTAAAAAATAGGAAATAATCTATACCTAATGTTAGAAAAAGAAACAGCAAAATTAGAAGATAGTTTAACAGCTATGATAAGAATAACAAAAGAAAATGAAGAAATAGACAAATCAAAAGAAATTGAAAAAATAAAAATACAAGCAAAACAAGAAGTACAACATTTAGAAGAAATAAAAAATACAAGAATAAGTGAATTAGAAAAGGAATTAGCTAGACTAAAATTATTATATGAAAATAAGCAAAAACAAAAGGAAAAAGATAAAGAGCTTGAATTAACTAATGAAATAAAAGAAATGGAACAAAAATTAAATGAAGATATTGAGATAAATGAAGTAAATGAAATAGATGAAAATGAAAATGACCAAAAATCAGAAGTAAGTGACATAAGTGAGACATATACTAAATAATGTTTTTCATACTTTCAAGATTTTATATATATATATATATATAGAGAGAGAGAGAGAGAGAGAGAGAGAGATTTCTTTTATATGAAAAATGGTATTATCTACCTATATAAATATGTGTAATATGTTTATTACCATTTATAGCAATATTATATTAAAACTGCAATATATATTAAAAGTTTATTATGTATGTAATATATATGAAATATAATTGTTTTTTGAAATATATTATGTTTGTTTGGGAAAAAGTTGACCCATTATATTATACTCTCTCTGTCCATAATTGTTTGGCATGTTAAGGTCATGCAGACCCCTCAAAAAAATGTAATACAATGTATAATTTGACTAATATAACCCTATCAATAATATCAAAAGTCTATCTAACTTTCCAATTGGACTACATTATCATTAAGGGCAAATTTGGAAAAAAGTGACTAATTGTTTCTTGATTATTTAAATTGACAATTAATCTTGAACAACTATTTTTAGTATACCTGTCAAACAATTGTGAAAGGAGGGAATAAATGTATTTAAATATGTGATAAACATTTTAGCAATTATTAAAACTTGTATAATATATGAATAATAAATTGTTTTTTGTAATATGATTAAAATTGTATTATAAATGAATTAAAATTGATTATATGAATAAAATATTATTAGTATAAATAATTTTTTTATAATATATTAATATAAGTTTCCCTTTATTTATATCATAGTCTTCTATTTAATTTTATGTCAATTTAGCTTAAATTTGATCCAATATAGCCTAATCATAAATCCCAAAATCCCTAATTTCTCTCTTCTTAGAGAAACCACCGCACCTAACCTCCACTACAGAAAATCACCGCCCCCCATCTCCTCTGTCTTATTTGTCGTCTGTAACCACAAGACAACCAGTGCCGCTCGATGTTCTTCTCGTGTCCTCATCCTTTTGCCACTACTAGAAATCACTGAGCGTTGAGTGTCCATCTCCAGCGAACCTCCTATCTTCCCTAACCTCGACAGCTCTCCAGCAAGCCACTCAAGTGCAATTACCCCTTTTCATCTCCCCCTTTCGTCTATGTATTTTTATTCCAGTACTTACCACTATCGATGCCTTAGTCTTAACTCGCTTCAATTATCAGAGGTGGCGTCGCCTTCCTCTTTTGTTCACTTCGCTGGTGAGACAAAGAAACCACCAAAAACCCCATTGCCTCCCTCTCTTCCTTCTGTCCCTATCAGTAGTTAAATATTCTTCGATTGTTCTTCTCTGGTGTTATGTGTAAAGTTCCGAATAACTTTGAAATGTTGATTGTTTCTGTTATTTTAGCCAGGTCCATCATTTCGAGTTATGACCGATTCTCGAGAATTCACATACAGTATGATATTTTAGTATTTTGTTTTCAATTAGTTGCCACTCCATCTCACTCAATAGAATTTTAATTTGAGGCACGATATTGTTGAATAAAGTTTAGTTCATATTTACTTGTGCATTTGTATCTTTTTATGCTTTGACAACATCATTCCCAATTACTATTGATTTTAGTTGTTATTCTAATATCTTGTTATGTTTGTTTTGCTACTTCAGGGTTCAGGCTCAAGTTTAGGCCTTTGTTAGTGATGATAATACGTTTACTACTTGCTCGACTTAGTTTTTTATTGGACAGTGTTATGTTCCTAATATTTATACACTAGTGTATCAGTTTTGTTTCTCTATTTATATAGAAACCAAATTTCTTGCTTACTCAAACATTATGTAACTATTCTCCTATTCATAGTAACCTGAGATCTTCTAGCTTGTTTGATTGGTCGTAAATGGTAAATTTAATACTTTTGTATTTATAAAAAAGTTTGCAAAAATCAATTGGTTTTTCCCTCTCTTCTACCTCATTTAACTTAGGCAAACTTTAGCTTCAATTTGTTTGGTTATATGGTCGACATATCACTCTTATGGAAAGTCTGGATTTTTTTTTTTATATCTTATTGATTCAGTTACTTGACTTTAGCGAGAGATTTTGTAGCTGAAAATCATCTTACGTAGGCTTGAATCATGTGACAGCCTTGATACTTGTAAACTTATGGTAACTTCATTCAATTATGTTAACAAAGGCAGGAGATATCCTTAATTTACCTCTAACTGAATTTTTGTATTTTATTGTTAAGCCTTTATTTCACTAAAAAAAAAACCTCCTCTTTTTGCATTACTTGAAAGCTTGAATACCGTGAGCATTACTGTAAGCACCCAGGTATATTACTCTAAATCTTATGCATATATTTACATGGTTTGGGTCTCTACTAGATTACTCTAAAAGCACTCTGGATTATTATAAAGAGTACTTGTAATCCATTGATGTTCCTTATCTTCCATAATGATCACGTGCCTTTGCCTAAATTAGTGTTCAAGATAAATCCAATGCTGATATTTGAACTTAGAAAGTATGAAACATGTCAACCTAGATATGGTGAAATTCGAATACTGTGATTCTGTTTGTCGCGGTGTTTTAAAGACTCTTCTGGGACTCGCCCTGGGGCAGGACTCTAGCAAAATGCCTCGAGACTCAAGTGTGGGACTTAGTTCTACAAGACTTACGCCCTAAGCGCCCTACTGTACGCTCTAAGCATGCTCAACGCCCAACAGATCCTACACAAATTATGTGTTAAAATCTTTAATTAACATTGTTGACCCTCATAATTGTTGAATAAATGAATGATACACAACTTTTTAATCTATAAAGACAAAAAGATTGAGAGTAACTCAAACAACACATGTAGTATCACATATTTACTATTTGGTAATACTATGAAGGTAATTCTATATTACATAACGTTTCTCTTAAAAATATGTAGCGAAATTTTCCTTTTTCACTTATCATTGGTATTCATGGTTTTGTCATGTCTCAAAATGATTATATTTTATTTGACTATTTGAAAGTAATTTTATTTTTATTCATGAAAGAGTGATGTTTATATTTCTCAAATAGTAATTATAATACTTCTTCATTTTTATATAGTTTATTAATACATATCTCAAATAAAAATATGATATAATTTCTATATATTATATATTATTCATAAAAAAATATTTGTAAAATCATTGGAAGGAATTTAATTAGTAATGAAACTATAAAATTGAATATACATGAGATTACGTCCCGTAGATTCATGGGATTTACGCCCCGTATTTCGTGGCTTACGCCTCGCTCCGTACCGTATAAAATGGCTCGCCTTACATGCCCGTCCTTTAAAACACTTGTTTATCGTGATTTAAGTATGTGATATACCATCAATTGTCTTAGGCATATGAATTTGGATAAAAGGGCTATAGTATTTTTGCTCTGATACTTAAACAGTTTGAATTGTTTAAAATCAAGTAGTGGTGAAATCTCTTTAATATGAAAGGCACATATCATATGTATATTGTTCAGTATCTGTTTTGGTCCACACGTGTGTACGTTTGCTCGTGTCTAACAGGCATTATCATAGGTACATCTTGGACATGTCGAAGAGTTGAATATAAAAATATGGTTGGTGTATCTGTATTGTACACTAGTTTATGTAAAGAAGAAAATTTCATTTTATTGCCTTGATATTATGAATGTTTAGTGTATCTAAGTTAGGCTATCATATTGAATTATTTGACTTAATGATTTTCTCTGAGGAGTATGTAATAAGATATGATCTCAATGTCATTTTATTTGTTTTTAATTACTATGTTTTAATTTATTAAAACTCTTCTAGCTATGATGTTTAATATATTATGCATTATTTAATAATTCTAATATTTTTTGTATATTCAAATTAAAGGGAAATTTAGTTAAATACTAATTATTAATAATATCACCATTAATTGAATGTCACCCAGTGCTAGCTTGTGATAAATGACAAAATATGTCAACCCTAAAAAAATCACTATTACAGACGACTACATAAATTTTGCCCCGAATTACCTACAAATAAACTTTGTAATTTATGGCAGTTTTGATCGTCGCTAATTATGACATCTTGTAGCGACTGTATTATGTATTGTAGTTATACGAAACATTGTTAGTGATGATATTTATTGTTGTCAACAATAGACTTATAAAATATTAATGTGTCACTAATTTATATATTTAGGGATAAAAAATGATTCGTATGTAAATGGTACTTTTCAGCGACGAAGTAATATTTGTGTAACCGCGAAATACATATAACATTGGAGACAATGACATTGTCATCAATTAATCTAATAATTAGTGAAACACTTATTTCGTCGGCCTTTATAACTCTTTCGCCACGAAAAATACAATTATCTACAAAACTTTGTAATTTCTATGACAAACAAATTTGTCATAAAATACTACGCATTTGGAGACGAAAGTCATTTTTGTAGTTAATAGAACTCTATTTAGTAATGAATCACTAACTCGTCTATGTATACATTTAGTGAGCGAACATTTAGGTACGATTGATTGACGAACTATTTTTCGTCTCAAAATTTATTTTGTGATGAAATCTGAGTTTTTATTGACATAACTATTTGTCACTAATACTCAAATTTGTTGTACTGTCCGTCGATGCCTCCGTTGGTTGCACCTGCAAATTTTTTCCTGTAAAGTTGATTTTTGGTCTGTTTTGGCTACGGGGTGTTACAGATATAGCAAAGAGTATATTGATGGTGTTGAATCCTTCCTAGATTTTGCTTATGGAGATCCAATAGGAGAGGAAATTCAGTGTCCATGTGCAAAATATTTTAATATTTGTTGGACACGAAGGAATGTAGTGTATGATCATCTAATATTCTATGAATTTATTAAGGGTTATACTAGATGGATCAATCACGGGAAATGGGATACTAAGATGAATGTTGACAATGATATGTATTGCTTGCATGTTGATATTGATGGTTTGTTGATTGATAAATTTAGAGTTGTTGCACAGGGTGAAGGAGATTATAATGGTCCAAATGAAGATGCCAAAAAATTCTATAACTTTCTTAATGTGACAAACAAAGAATTATATCCTGGCTTCACAAGATTCTCTAAATTATCATTCACAATTCGTTTATATTTGTTGAAGTATCTACATGGATGGAGAAATGAATCATTCACTTCTCTTTTAGTGTTATTAAAAGAGGCGATGCCCGAGTTGAACATTCCTTTGTCATACAATAAAAAGTATAAGGTGAAGAATCTTGGTCTTGATTATGAGAAAATTGATGCACGTCCCAATGATTGCATGTTGTTCTGGAATGATCATAAGGATGATAAATTTTGTCATACTTGTGGAGCTTCACGATATATTAAATCTCCTGAAGTTGATAGCGAGCTTGAGCCTTCAAAAAACAACATCGAGTTTCAGCAAAGACATTGAGACACTTTCCATTAATTCCTGGACTCAAAAGGTCATTTATGTGCTCAAAGACGGCAGATTCTTTGAGGTGACATGACGAGGAGCGCTCTAAAGATGTAAAGTTAAGACATCCCATTGATGGTTTTGCATGGAAAGATTTTGATAGGTTGCATCCAGATTTCGCACTAGATTCTCGTAATGTGAGATTTGGCTTGTCAAGTGATGGGTTCAATCCATTTCGGACCATGAGTATATCACATTGCACATGGAAAGTTATGTTGATGGTGTATAATTTGCCGCCTTGAATGTTCATGAAATCGGAGTATTCTTTACTTTCTTTACTTATACCTGGGTCACGATCACCTAGAAATGACATTGATATTTACTTGCAACCATTGATAGATGAGTTGAAATTATCGTGAGATTCTGGGTTGAAATATATGTTGCTTCAAAAAATAAAACTTTTCAAATGTGGGAAGCTCTTATGTGGACAACCAATGACATTCCTGCATATGCTATGTTATCTGGATGGAGTACAAAAGGTAAGTTTGCTTGCCATTGTTGTAACTACGACACTAGTTCTCACTATCTTAAGCATTGTCGAAAAATATGTTACATGGATCATCGTGTTTTTCTACCCATAGATCATCAATGGAGATCTAACAAAAGATCTTAAAATGGAAAAACCGAATTTAGAGCTCCTCCATCTTTATTAAAGGGTACTGATGTGTTTAATAGATTACAAGATTTTGAAAATGTGTTTGGAAAGAAGATAAAGAGATCAATGATGGTCCATGAAAAAAAAGGTCAATTGTTTTTAAATTACCTTATCGGAAGCGCAACTTGTTATGCCACAACCTTAATGTAATGCACATAGAGAAGAACATAGTTGATAACATTCTTGGAACTCTTTTGGATATTTCTGGCAAAACAAAAGATCATGCAAAATCCCGATATGATTTGAAATATATTGGAATCAGGAAGAACCTTCATCCAAAAGATATAAAAGATAGTAAGAGAACAAAGTTGGCAAAGGTGTGCTTCTCAATGGCAAATACAGAGAATTCAATTTTTTTTGGACTTGTAAAGACAACCAAGCTATATGATTGTAGTGCCTCCAACATATCTAGGTGTGTGCAATTGGATGAAAGAAAAGTGTCTAATTATAAAATTTGTGATGCTCATTTCATGTTTCATTACTTGCTTCGAATATCAATTAAAAGCTTTCTTCCTGATCATGTGGCTATTCCTTTGATTCATCTTAGTTCCTTCTTCCATAGTTTGTGTCAAAAAGTAATCACATCGGAGGAACTGGATTGCTTAGAAGCAGAAATCATAGAAACAATAAAATAATTGGAGCGAATTTTTCCTCTATTTTTTGATATAATGATTCATTCACCTATTCATTTGGCGAATGAAGTGAGATTAGGAGGTCAATTTCAAAATGGGTGGATGCATTCCACATAAAGAGAAA